ATTTGTTCAAGATTTAAGCTAGAAGAGGCATCATTCTGAAGATCTTGACCTGTCCAGCATTTCAAATCACATCTCTTAGATATTCTCTCAAATAGCAAGTTGCTCGGAAATTATTTCAAAGACCTCCAAGTGGTTAGAGATTTCCAAAAAGTTCTCAAATATATGTTCAACACTTCAGTTTGATCAGGTATCATACTGAAGATCTTCAACTGCCCAAAAATTCAACTGATATTTCCCAGATATTTTCTCAAATACTTAATTGCTCTAATTATCAAAAATTATTTAAAAGCCAGGTGATACTAGATCTCCAAAAAATTCTCAGTATATTTGTTCAAGCCTTCAGCTTGATCAGCCATCATTCTGAAGATCTTCAACAGCACTTCAATTCAAATCACATCTCACAGATATTCTCTCAAATACTAGATTGCTCAGAAGTTATTGCAAAGACCCCCAGGTGATCAAAGAAAATTCCATTGCCACTTTTTCAAGATACCAGGTTGCTTAGAAATTTTTGAAAAGCCTCAAGGTGATCATAGATCTCCAAAAAATCCTCAAAATATTTGTTTTTGACTTTAGCTTGACCAGCCACTATTTTAAAGATCTTCTACTGCCCAGCAATTCAAATAACATCTACAAGTTATGCATAATGTTCTAGAAATCAGTCTGAAGATCTTCAACTGCCCAATACTTCAAATCACATCTCCCAGACATTCTCTCAAATACTAGATTACTCAAAAATTATTTCAAACCCATGTGATCATAGAACTAAAAAAAATAATTTCAGGGGGTTTGTTCAAGACTTCAGCATGATAATTCAATGATTTTGAAGATCTTCAACTGCCCAACATTTCAAATCTCATCTCTCAGATATTCTATCAAATAGCAGGTTGCTCAGAAATATTCCACATACCTCCAGGTGATTAGACATCTCCAAAAATCTTCAAATATTTGTTCAAGAATTCAGCTTGATCAGGTATCATTCTGAAGATCTTCAATTGCCGAACAATCCAACTAAAATCTCTCAGGTATTTTGCAAGGTACTTTGTTGCTCTGAAATTATTCAAACGACCTCCACGTGATCATTGATCTCCATAAAATCCTCAAGATATTTGTTTTAGACTTCAGCTTGATCAGGTATCATTCTGAGATTTCCAACTGCCCAGCATTTCACGTCGCATCTCTTAGATATTCTCTCAAATAGCAGTTTGCTCGGAAATTATTGCAAAGACCTCCAAGTGATTAGAGATTTTCCCAAAGATATTTTCAACACTTCAGTTTGATCTGGTATCATACTGACGATCTTCAACTGGCCACAAATTGAACTGACACCTCTCAGGTATTTTCAATACACCAGATTGCTCAGAAATTATTCATGTATCATTTTGAAGATCTTCGACTGCCTAACAATTCAAATCACGTCTCCCAGTTATTCTCTCAAATGTCAAATTGCTCAGAAATTAATCCACATCTCCAAAAAAAAAGTCAAAGCATCTGATCAAGACTTCAGCTTCAGCATTTGAAGATCTTCAGCTGCCTAGCGTATGAAATCACATTTTAGATATTCTCACAAATAGCGGAATGCTTGGAAATTATTTTAAAGACCTCCTAGTGATCAGAGATTTCCAAAAAGTTCTCATGATAGTTTTTCATGACTTCAGCTTTTTTTTCCTTGATTTGTTTTCCGTCGATCTTGTTTTCCGTGCTGAGTACCAGAGACGCCAGGGAGGCCAGGGAGACTGCTCTCACACCTGGACCCTACCTACCCAACAAGCTATTTTTTAGCTGAAGAAGCATATTTTTTCCTGAATAAGCTCTTATTACGCTTCCAATGTTTGTTGGGTATCGACCCATCAACTCATGAACCGGGGACCAACGGCCTTACTTCCCTTCCGTGATCAGAGATGTTATGCCTCAGAACATCCGGGCGGTGCCGACTGGGATTGAACCGAGGCCTGCTGGGATGAGAGAAGACTTCAACTTGATCATGTATGATTTTGAAAAGCTTCAGCTGCCCAGCATTTTAAATAACTATCTTTCAGATATTATTTCAAATAGCTGGTTGCTCATCTCCAGGTGATCACACATCTCCAAAAGTCCTCAAATATATGTTAAAGACTTCAGTTTGATCGAGTATCATTTTAAAGATCTTCATCTGCCCAACCATACAAATCACATCTCTCAGATATTCTCTCAAATCGTAGGTTGGTAGGATCAGAAATCTATAAAAAGTTCTCAAAATATTTGTTGAAAACTTCAGGTTATTCAGGAATCATTCAAAGGACCTCCGGGTGATCATAGATCTCAAATTTAAAAAAAAATCAACACATTTGTTTTAAACTTCAGCTTAACCAGGCATCAAGTTGCAGATCATCAACTGCTCATCAATTAAAATCACATCTCCCAGAACGGCGCCGGTGGTGTAGTGGTAAGCGTGATTACCTCTCACCCCAGCAGGCCTGGGTTCAATCCCAGTCGGCGCCACCGGGATGTTCTGAGGCATAACATCTCTGATCACGCCTTCCTTCGGATGGGAAGTAAAGCCGTTGGTCCCCGGTTCATGAGTTGATGGGTCGATAGGTAGGGTCCAGGTGTGTGAGCTGCCTTCCTTGCACGTCGGTAGCATTGGTGCTCAGCACGGAAAACAAGATCGACGGAAAAAACAAACCAAAGATATTTTCTCAAGACACCAGGTTGCTCAGAAATTATGAAAAAGACCTTCAAGTGATCATAGGTCTCCGAAGTATCCTCAAGACATTTGATTTAGACTTCAGCTTGATACATTCTGAATCATTGTGAAGATCTTCAACTGCCCAAACATTCAAATCTCATCTCCAAGATATCCTCAAAGATTGCAGGATGCTCAGGAATTATTTAAAATAACACCAAATGATAAGAGATCACCTTGAAAACTTCAGGATATTTTTCAAGATTTCAAATTGAACGGGTAGGGAAATGGATGAAATGTCGGCCTAAATGCCCCTAATTTGGGCCCTTACATAAATTCAGCAATCGATTAAATTTTCAATAGCGACCAAAAATATCCCATTAGTACGCGTCCCAATGACGCGTTCATCTAGATAAAATTTAAAAACAGCAGCTTTTTAACGATGGGCCCAATCTTAGATCCATAGGCCAACATTAGAGCCATTTCCCCTATCATTCTAAAAATATTCAAGTATTCCAAAATCCATATCGTCTATCTCAGATTTTCTCTCATATGGAACACGGCAGTTTAGAAATTATTCCAAAGACCATGAGGTGATCAGAGATGTGCATGCAATGAGTCACCTGCTATGGTCCCTCAAAGCTCAGGATGGTATGGTCACCTCATGATGCCATCGTCATATTACCTCTCAAGATCACTGTTTTAATCTCCACCAAGCACAAATTAACTCAACATGTTTAAAATGGTTGTTGTATTAACTCTGTGCTTCTTGTTTCCACTTACTCCAATCCAATACAACAGAACAAAAAATATGGCTCAGAATGAACGTAACATTTTTGCCGGATAATCGAGTCCAACCTGTATTATCAGAAATTTAGGGGCGTCAATCCCAAATACTCCAAGGAACAAAGGAGGCCCTCACGCGCCTCTGGTACTCTTTGTCTAGAGAAGTCGGGAAATGTTCCAAACGGAAATGCTATTAGGACCGGACCGGGAATCGAACCCCCCCGCCTCCGACTTGGTGAAATGAGCCTTAGGCTATCTGAGGCCCACCAACTTCAGGGCCTAACAATTATCAGATGTTGTAATGACTGAGTTCTTCTTGCACTTTCCACAGCATGTCGAGTCACGTCACACCCTTTCGCCATTACATACTCCACCCAGCTTCCGGGGATCGTACAACATCCATCAGCTAATTACACCTTTCAGATTCAAATCACATGAACAACCCCAACTCCACTTCCAGATCAAAGGTCAAGTCACACCTTGCGTTCTAAACCACCTCGGTTGCCATAGCAAATCTGACCCACTGCACCCGAAAAAAAAAATACACACACACACTTCACTCGACACTTCAAAAAGAGCTTGATTTACTATGATCCATTCTCTTCCACTTCAAACGGAACGCAAATCGCAGCTCACAACGGGCACTGGAGGCTACCAATCCGAGTTCTTGAACTCACCCACTTTCGAACGGTTCCACACATGCGGTAGCTCGAACGAACGGAACTCCGCGCCACAATATGCGTAACCTCCTTTCGCCGAAAACCAAAAAAAAAAAATGGACTGACTTGGAATTGGAACCATACGAAACACGAAGCAGCTCAAGTTCACCTCTCCGCAAGAGCTCTTTCGTCAGAATCCTTGATCTTTTCTAATTCACTTTTTTTTTCTAACCGACCGACGCCGCAACGTGAGGTACTTGACCAATTACGCAATTACATTTGCGACCTGTTCGATGCTGCGATAAAAAATTTGCTCACTTTTTGTTTCTTATCAAATGGGCACCGTTCAGCGATGGTGACCTTCATCCGAGTACAGAGCTCACGCGAACTGCAAACCGCGTTATGCCTCCGGAAAAAAGTTGGCTCGTTCGATTTTTTATTTTCACCAATAATTTTACGGAATTTTTACACTCACACACACACACACATCCACCCTCACTACTGCTCCTTCCTGGTCAAGCGCGTCAAACCAGAGAGGAGATCAAGTCAAGGCTTTCTATATCAGAAACACCACCTTCTTTTGCTTCACCTTCTTCCGTTCGTTCCTGGCTGTTACTGTCAGCGAGCGCACTACCAACTTCGATGACGATGATGATATTTAATGACGGCGACGGACGTCTCGCACCGTTGGCCGTAATTTCACCTTGCGCCTGACCGAAATTTCGCACCCAACAAAGATTGTGCTTTCCCAAACGACTGTTGTTGATTTGGGATTGATCCTCATAGTCACCGTGAGTCACTGTCACCGTGAATCACTGTCACTGAATTTGAATCTGAAACAAACGTATTCCTTTTCCTCGTCGGAACTAGCAATCTTCTTCAATTTTCACCTGTTTCACCAAACTCCGTTGCACCAGATCTCATCGGTACAAGACCGGCAACGACGACGACCGAGAATTATGCTAACCGATAACAACACCAGATACCGGGAACAGGTTACCAAGTCACGAACCAACGCGCGAGATCGGCTGTAGTTCCTATAAACCGGAATCGCGAGTGCACGGGTATCTTCCTCTGCCACCTGCTTCTTGCAGACACGGCGGACAACGACGACGACGACGACCACGATTGCGAGAGCGAACAACACGATTGCGACTGCCTACCCTACTGACTCTGTGACTGGCAAAGGAACCGGCGGCGGTGAGGCTCGGCTCTCACTCAGCTAAAAGAGCGCCTACGTGGGGTTTTGGGTGGTGGTGAGTGACTCGAAGAAAATTTCCAACTTGATTGTTGTCTTTGCAGCGCAGCAGCCCAGCGAAAGAGTGGTCTTCTTACATATGTTGCGAAGCGGAGAGAGGAGTTGGAGAGAAAACACCTCTTGGGGAGCTCACGCGTTGGGTGATGCAAGGTTTGTTGGAGTGATGGTGTGCTGACAAACGAATTAATCGATTGGGAAGGAAGTTTTGAGTGCGGTTTAAATCTAGTAGATTTTAAGGGCACCTCCCAATCACCATATGTATGACTATTGTCCGGTCACCATATTTAATAAATTAGTAAAGGGGCGGCATTTTCATGGATTGCCAAGGGTACAGAAAACTCTCACCGTCACTGTTCAAGTGGTCATATCAACTATTTTAAATGTGTTGTTGAGCAAGTTTGTGGTTGATATTGAGAATAATGCTAATATTTAGAGGTAAATGTTAACTATTTTTTGAAAATGATTTTGGTAAATTTTTATTTCTAGATTCTTATAATAAGACCTCATCTAACTACTCAGCTAATTTAATAAAGAGAATTGGTTGTAGGAAAAATTATTTAGGACTTTAAGTTTTATGAATAGTGAAATGTGAATGGAAGATTAATTAATCTTACTGTTAAAACTTTGGAAAATCCCGGCGCTATCAGAACTTCAGAAACGTAGAAAACCGTTCGTCATTCTTGAGACTACTCAAAGCGTGTAAAATCTCCAGAGAATCTTGCACCAGAGCTCCAGAAACCCCAGTGAGGCAAAGAGAGTTGAGTTTGAATTAATAATTAGTATTTGATACCACACTCTGTCTATATTAAAATCTGGAACGCGCAAAAATTGTTCAACTTAAAATAGGTGTATTTCTGTTAAAAATGCATAAAATACCTGAAATGTTGCATTTGGAAGTTGAGTGTATATACAATGGTTGCTATGATGAGTTTTCACCATTTGCTCTTCAGTTTTCAAAATGACGTCCAAGCAAAAGGAGCAGCGTGTCAAAATTTTGCTCGCGCTGCAAAAGAATCCGACGTTCTCACACGCCAAGTTGGCAAAATGGCTGGATGTGGCCAAATCGACCGTGACTAACGTTTTAAAAGTGTTCGGAGAGCGTCTGTCGACCGCCAGGAAGCGTGGAAGTGGCGGCAATCGTAATCCGGACGTGGCAGCGACGACGAAGAAGGTGGCGGTGAAATATGGGCGGAATCCTAACCTCTCCATCCGGGACGTCGCTGGCCAAGAAACGAGCCGGGTTATCGACGTTTAAGAAGGTGAAGGTGGCGAACCGAGATTACAAACAAAACACGTCGGCAAAGCAGCGGTCCCGAAAGCTGTATACGAATCTGCTCACAAAGTTCCACTGTGTCGTCATGGACGACGAAGCTTATGCGAAGGTGGATTTCAAGCATCTTCCGGAACAGGAGTTTTATACCGCATCAGGAAAAGGGAAGGTGGCTGAAATTTTCAAAACCATCAAACTATTGAAGTTCCCGAAAAATATCTCGTCTGGCACGCCATATGCACGTGTGGTCTAAAAAGCGGCATTTTTATTACTACGGGAACCATAAATCAAGAGATCTACGTTCAGGAGTGCCTGGAAAAGCGGGTGCTACCATTCCTAAAGCAACTGCTGTTCCGGCCGGACTTGGCGAACTGCCGCTATGGAAAAAAGGCAATCAGGTGGTACGATGCGAACAACGTGGTTGGGGTACCCAAAGACCACAACCCTCCCAACAGGCCAGAACTCCGTCCTATCGAACGGTATTGAGCCTTGGTCAATCGGAATCTAAAAAAAAAACTAATAAATCCATGGAAAACGAGCAGCAGTTTAAATCTAACTGGCGTTCGGCGTCGAATAAGGCCGATGAGACCACTGTGCAAAATTTAATGGAAGGGGTTAAGCGGAAGGCACGGCAGTTCGGATTTGCCAAAACAAAAGAATAAACGGACGTTTTTTCCTTAAATATATGAAAAGAAAAATAAGAAGATTTTTGTGATATGAACTTTGACTGAAAGAAACGATTTTTTTGTCGAACAATTTTTGCGCGTTCCAGTCTTTACCCACAACTTCTGAAACAGCATGTACCAGTGCTGAGATTTGTCATTGTCATTGACAGACTTTTGCGCGATATTGACAAAATTGTTTTTCACATAGTCAATGATAGACTTGATCTTCAAAAAAATCTTTGTCAAAATCTCATTCATTTTTTCGTCAATGACAAAGATTCACCTGGTAACAGAAAGTGTAATTTCTCGCGTTCTGTAACACATTATTGTTATCCAAGCGGTTCAGGACGTAGATGCTTATTCACTTTAATGGCTCCATGTAATTGTTTTGCTCAAGCCATTTAATTTCATTTCAAATTTAGCTAATAAACAAATCAGCACATGTTCGTCACTGACAAAAATGGTACTGGCAATTGACATGGTTTGCCTTGACGATGACTGTTAGCTCAAACGAGTGACCAAAGCAGAATTTTGAGTATCACCGTGTATTGTCAAAATTTTGCAGCACTGGCATGTACTCCAAGAATTTGAGACATCTAAGACTACAATAATTTCCGAATTCCTTCCAAGTATTCCAAAAGTACCCTGATCTTAAAGTTTTTTTTTTGCATCTAAAGCTCCTTAGGTTCCGAAACATTCAGGAATTTTCAATGTTTATGACGTTCTGGATCTTCCTAGAGATTCTAGTAGCCTAAGGCTCAAAATCTCTTTATTAAAGAAAAAAAAAATAGATTGATTTGATACGAATGTAGAATTAATAGAAGTTCCAGATCAACATTAAATGAGGTCATGGCCGCCCATTTTGACGTAGACTACGACTTACGGGAAGGTACAGGGGGTAAATCAAAAATCTTAGTTGCGAGCGTCACAAAAAAGGTGTTAGGTTTTTTTTAATTCTTTGTTTGAGAGATTTTTAGCCATAGGCTAGTTCATCTTTTAAAAGTGTTAGGTTTTGAACGCTTATAACTTTGTTATTTACAGATGAAATTAAAATCAAAATACACCAATCGATAGGAAATAACTCCACAAATCTGCTGAAATGCTTTCAAAACTTTCCATAAAACAATGTTGAAAAATGTACATACAAAGAGCTATAATTTGATCACTGTATTCATGATTAAAAAAATATGTTTTCCCTAACCCAGTCGTCATAATCGAGACGGCGTAGTGAGTGGATCGGCGGTAAAAGGTGGAATGCTTCCCTCTCAGTCGTCGTGCAGAAAAACTTCCTCGCAGCGGAAGGCATAATAAATGGATGACCATGACAACCAGCGGTGGAGTGGAAGGATACTCAGTAGACTGATGCAAATTTTGACATTTTCGCTCCACAGTGCTCAAACGGTTCCAAATCGGGTCCTGATAAGTCTCCCAATATTTGAACTCCTTTGATAAGAAACTGACTTGGCACAAACCATTTGAAGTTTATATGGAAATTAGTATGGGAAATCCAAACTTTTTGTTCATTGTCTTCTTACTTTTTTCCATATTGCACTGTTCAAAAATTTAAAAGCTATACTTATGGAAAATTTTTTCAGCTACAACTTAGCAGAATATAGTTTTTGAGCCAAACGTCAAATAAAATTGTTATTAATTGTTTAAGAGATTGATAATCTTATAGCATGATCAAGCAGCTGTTTTGTGAGCAACACTGTTTCTTGCAGTGTGACATAGTAGCCATGATTTTTGTACTGTATTCTAAGCGCCAGAAACACCAATGTTGCCTGCTGAACAGTTGATTGAGCATAATCATAAGATATTAGTGGCTTGAATTATTGATAACTTTTGATGCTTACAATATATTGAAAAGTGGTTTTGGACAACGTTGTAGCTGAGAAAATTTGCTGCGAGCTCAGTTATCATTTTTTAAAGCAGAGAGATATAGTAAATTGTTAGATGGATACGAACAAAACATTTAGTTTTCCCATAGTAATTTCCATATAAACTTCAAATGGTTTGTGCCAAGTCAGTTTCTTATCGAATGAGTTCAAATTTTGGGAGGCTAGTCAGAACCCGATTTTGAACCGTAAGAGCACTGTGGAGCGAAAAAGTCAAAATTTACATCAGTCTAATACTCACCTCTGCAACGAGCTGGTTTTGCATTAGGCTAAATTAGCATCTAACCGATCATCTAATTTTCTATATACCATCGGTTTCATGCGTTTCATGCAGCAATGTCACAAGTGGAAATTTTGCATTTTTGAGATTTTGATGGCAAATGACGGCAAATAGTGTAAGGTGCCATCCCACTAAAAATCATTTTGAAATTCGTGGAAAATCGAAAGGTATAGGTAAATATGCATTTGCTATTTCCTAAAAAAAACAAAACAAAAATAGACACATTTTTAGTTATGTAATGTTGTTGTCCTTTAGAATGTTGACTCAACTCAACTCACAACTCAAAAGTTTAGCATGACAAATGGACACACCTCAAATAAAAAGCAATATAAATCGTTGGACTACTTATTTCATGATCGAATATTTGATAGAATGAATGAAACACACTTCCCATAGTTCAATGGAAATGAAAAAAAAATAAAGGGTTGTGTCCTAGACACGACCGCAGTATGACGTAGAACCACGCAACATTGATTTTTGTCATACATTTTTTTTAAAATTATACTTATTATTATGAATGGGGCGGGGCAGAACGTATCTTTTGTGCAAAATATGGAGAAAAGGATGGACTCTGGATGTTAATCTAATTGCATATATAGAGGTACCAGATATGTTTTTCAGTCAGTCGTTGGTAATTTACCAACATAATATCAACGGATGTATGTCTCCTCTTAAGCAATTGTTTTGAAAATTTTGGAT